CCTCTATGGATTCCAAGATAATGGTCTCCTGGCACTGGGGACAGGCAGAAAGCCCCCCTGAAGACAGACAACAGGTAGAATTGGAAGGCTTTGAGAGGGAGGGTGGGGATGCTGAGCGCACATCACCCCCAAGTGCAGACTCACGGGGTCTGGCGTTGGCTGGAAGAGAATGGCAGCAGAGACCTGAGGCTGGCATGAGCCCAGCACAGAGTGACGGGTAATGGCAGTCTACTACGGGGGAGGGAGAGAGTTTGCAGGGTGACCCCATCTTCTGAAAACATGTTTAGGGATGACTGGAAACAAAGGTGGAGCACTAACACTGAGGAAAATCTCTGGAATTCAGCACATGGTGCTGGCAGCTCACCACTGGGGGAGTTTGGAGGGCACTGGAAGAAACCAGAGCAACAGGACTCAAACTAGCTCACCTGGGGACCGCAGGGACTCAATAGCTTACCAGCAGTGGTATGCCCATTCCCAGGCGTATGCATTATGAAAGGCATTCTCCACCATTCTACTCAAGGTCTCCAGGTTTAGTAAAGCATTTTGAGACACACACACACACAAAAGCAAGAAAAAGCAACCCTTTGTCCAGAGATAAAGTGACAAAGCCAGATGCAGAATATATTCCCAGAATGGAGATATTAGATGGGAATATTAAAATAACGATGAAAAATATGTTAAAGAATCTAGGGAGACAGGTGGCATGCATGAACAGATGGAGTAATGATTGTAGAGAGATGATAATTATAGAAAAAGTCAAAAGAAAATTCTAGTTGGGGGGGACCCACGATATCAGAGATGAAGAATTCTAATGGGCTCATTAGTAGATGTGACACCGTTGGGGAACGATTCAGTGAATCTGCAAAAGGGTTAATATCAATGATACGAACCAGAACACAAGGAGAAAAGAGTGAATAAAACAGAAGTGAAGGGGGGTGGGGGGATGGGCTAGCCTGGTGATGGGTATTAAAGAGGGCACGTTCTGCGTGGAGCACTGGGTGTTATGCGCAAACAATGAATCATGGAACACTGCATCAAAAACTAATGATGTAATGTATGGTGGTTAACATAACAATAAAAAATTATTAAAAAAAAAAAAACAGAAGTGAGCACCAAGAAGTATGAAATGATGTCAAACAGTCTAATGTACATGTAATTGGAGTCCCAGAAGAAGCCGAAAGAGGTGGGGCAAAGTCAATATTTGGGATGGCAGTATGGCTGAGATTTGTTTGTAACTGACAGAAGATGTTAGAGCATATTGAGTACGCACATACACTCAGTCCTAGACACACCATAATGAACCTGATGAAAATAAAACATAAAGATAAAATGTTGCAGCAAGCCAGAGAGAGGGGACACACACATGTCTACAGCTACAGGAAACAACAGGTTACTTCTCATCATCAACTAAGAAGTGAGAAGACAAGGGAGGGACATCTAACATACTGAAAACGAAGAAAATTTCAACCCAGACTTCTGTACCTGGCAAAACATCTTTCAAAAATGAAGGTGAAATAATGACTTTAAAAAAAAAAAAATTGTTGTCAGCAGACCTGCACTACAAGAAAGGTGAAAGAAAGGTCCTCGGACAGAAACTTGGATTGACCCAGAGACATAAAGAGCTCCAAAGATGCTAAAAGCAAAGGTAAATATAAGATATTTATTTTTCTTATTTTCTATTCAGTCTAAAAGATCACTGTTGTAGTAGAGTAGTAGGAATGTAAAAACCAAAAGTAGTAAAAATGTTTTGTGGGCTTTATAGCTTATAAAAATAAAATGTAAGACAACGAATAACATAAGGGATGGAAAGCAGATATTAGAAATACACACTTGTAAGTTTCTTTTACATGAAAGGCCATAATATAATTTGAAGGTGCTAAAATACTAAAGATGTATCTTTTAAACTCTAGGCAGAGCATTATGTTTTTTAAGTTTTATCTAATCAGCCCATCGTGGAGATAATTGAAGCAATAAAAATATTCAGTTAAACCAAAAGCTGGCAGGGAAAGAGGGGAGAATCAACAAAATACAAATCAGACAAAAAGAAAGGTTCCGATAGGGCATATGGCTTCAGTCTTATTACCTCTTCTGCCACCAAATCCCACTGAAATCAATAAACCCTGGTTTATTGATATATTGATGTATATGACTTATCTATATCAATCAACAATAGATATTCCTATATATAAAACATTCTCTGCTCTTTTCATGTTGAGATCAAGGACAACTGCCACCATATTGTTCCCTAGGAGCAAGTTCATACGCTCTATACCCTTAGTGCAGATTTTCTAATTTCCAGGGTCAACCAGTACCATTATTGTCTACGTACATCTGTAAGGTTTCATGATATTTGTTTATTTGTTTTGTTCTATTTTGGTATTTCCTCTGAAGAAAAGAGCCCAGAGCAAGGGTGACACCCGTGTAACTGTGTCCAACTTCCCATCCAGATTAGAAGGACTGCTGGCGTCGAGAACACACAAAGCATTCAATGATGCTGGATCTTTTGAGTTTTTACCCAGATCATGCAAGAGAACCTAGATCATACATATTGGATCAGGCCTTCTTGGAATTGCTTTTGCGATCATTAAAATTTGATAGTTCAGGGGCGCCTGGGTGGCTCAGTCATTAAGTGTCTGCCTTCGGCTCAGGTCATGATCTCAGGGTCCTGGGATCGAGCCCCGCATCGGGCTCCCTGCTGGGCGGGAAGCCTGCTTCTCCCTCTCCCACTTCCCCTGCTTGTGTTCCCTCTCTCGCTGTGTCTCTCTCTGTCAAATAAATAAATAAAATCTTTAAAAATAAATAAATAAAAATTAAAAAATAAAATAAAATTTGATAATTCATCCCAAAAGTAAAAATGTTTGTTTTGTGTTTGGGAAATTTCTATCAGTGCTCATCTGGAACGATGGACTGGGATATTTACCAGAGCCTAGTGTTTACTTCCCAATGAGAAAAGTGAAAGTCCTCAGACAGAAGCAGGTGTGGATCAGCCATAGCAGTTCTGGCTTTAGGGACAAACGGATTCACAAGCTCCTCTATCTTCCATGGATCATCTACCTGCTCATGACCCTTGGGGTCATCATTTGTAAAACAGAGCAGTGCATGCTGCCGTTTGGATAGGACAGTTGGAATCCTAGCATAGGGTTCAGTCAAGGGCCTTCGTGATGAAGTGTCTCTCATTCTGTGGGTCACTAGCAGTGTGACTACAGGCTATGTTCTTCCTCCTTTAAGCACTGGGCATACCTCCAAACTAGGGTTTTTTGAGGACAACTGAGTAAGGGGCTGTAACATGTTTAAAGCAGGACCTGGCACAGAGTGTGTGTTTTGGTCCTTTTTCTTATTATTTCATGGATATCAATTTTAGTGACAAATCTGAATTTAGAAGCTTACAGATCTACAGTACATATTTTAAGGTAGATGGAAAAATATGTCAACAGATTAAAAATATGAGACAATCTTTTGGCAGCCTAATTCAACAGTCCTTCTGTTTGACGTTGGCCTTAGTGAGATTAATTCTACGAAACCTTTATATGACCAGTATTTTGAACTCTGGCCCAAGGAATTAGAACCGAAAAATGAGTGCTTTTAAATACACCAGAGATTGGGAGGACATGAACGACACGGGAGAGATCAGAATGGTGTTAGCATCAAAAACAATCACTCAGAACAAATGTGAGCAAATGAAAACATAGCATTATGTTTGGGCAACTAAAAAATAAATACATTAAGTAATGAAACAAGGCCTTGGATTTTTAAACAAGATTCATTTTGGTGAGAAATATCTTAGTCTTTCTCTTTTAATGAAGTATACTAGTTGGGAATAAAGTAGAAAGTAGATAATTATATTGTTGCAGCTGTAATTTTATGTAATAGTAACTGACGACTAATTATTTCACTAACACCTCTTTTTATAAGTGAGTGAAAAGCCCAAATCCGCAAGACGAGTTTGAGTGAAAGACAGAAGAGCATTCGTGAGTTCTAACATTGCTAAAAATATTAGTGAATTTATTAACACTATCATAAATAAGGTTGATAGTTTCCTATCTAGAGATGTTCACAAAATGTATCAAAGTAGCAGATTTTTTTCCATACATTTCCTACATAAATAACATCTACAGCATCATTTTATACTGTCACCAAAGTAGTCCTATTCAAATAAATTGGAATAAACTTGCATACAAATGCCTGTAATAAGTAGGGGAATTTAACTGAAATGGGAAACAGCCCTGTGGTTTCTGTCTGGTTCAGAATATTTATCATCAGCTGGAAACCTGGCCTATCAAAAACATGCATGCATTTACATCTCAGCAAACTGTTTATCTCAATTCAAAAGATCACTTATTAAAGCTTATCCATGTATTTGCTTATTTGCAACTGCTTATTAAAGAAGATGAATATCAACATTAAGCATTTTTAGTGCTTGAAAACATGTCCTAAAATAAACCTGACTCTCATTGGAAATCCTTATTTCGTTTTTACAAGGTTTACCTGCATAATCAAATGCCAAAGAAGATTTGTGAATTTGACCTTTGTCAACCCATTTATCAGACTATTAACTCACTTGCACATTCATTTTTAAAAGGTTAGCATCTCCTTCACAATACCTTCTTCCAATTAGAATGAATTCTAATACACAGAATACAGAATGTATTAGAATACAATTCTAATACATTCTAATACACAAAGCCGTGAGTGCAGTGGTACTCTGTGCTAACAGCCTTGGAGTCTAGAAGTGGAAAAGCCTATGACCATAATCTGTTTGGAAATTATGATTTTCTAGGTTTCAGGATGTTAATATGAACATTTGCTATCACTCACAAAAAAAAACAGGAATCATACAAATGGTTAGGCTTTGTGCTTTTGAACAATTATTCCAGAAACTAACATCTGCATCTATCCAATTATTCCAGATACTAACATCTGCATGTCCTCATTCGTTTGCTTTTACAATATATATAATCAGTATAACAATGGAAGCTGGATGCAGAAAGAGTTGACCTTACTTTTGTATTCCAGGTGAAAGCCAGCAGCTGCCACACTAATATCAGACTGGAAATGCAGATAGAGCTGGTTGGAGGTGCTGTTCAGAAGGGCTGGGACTGTGGTTCCTGCAGGAGACATGGAGTAGAGCAATAACATGACAAATGCATTCAATTATCCGTCTATAAAATAGATGCGGGTATCTGTTTTGGTTTCCAAATCCCTATGGTCTGATAGCCACCTATGTAATCTGAGTATTGGCTTTAATCCTTTTGTACTTTGAGCCTCTTTTTTGTTCTCATACTGTAAAGTTACACATTTTCTCTGCTCTCCACAAGCTGATGTGACATCTTTCTATTGAATCAGTATATGGACACAGAAATTCTTATATTTTACCATGCATTGGCTTTTTACATTTCATTCCTTTTTTTAATATTTTATTTATTTATTTATTATCTGTGGGCACAAGCATGGGGGAGCAGCAGAGGGAGAGGGAGATGCAGACTCCCCACTGAGCAGGGATCCTGACATGGGGCTCGATCCCAGAGCCCTGGGATCTTGACCTGAACCTAAGGCAGACGCTTAACCAACTGAGCCACCCAGGTGCTCCTCACACTGCATTCTTTTAACAACACAATCATTCTGTTTGTTTGTTTGTCTTGTTTTGACTTGAACAAAGAAGGGATAAAACTTAAATGAGCGAGTCTTATGGAGGTCCTGGCGGGGCGGGGGTGGAGGCAGCAGTTAGCCTGGGTGGATTGATCCAATATATTATTGATAAAATGCTGCTTTTGACTACGTATTCTCTCTTCTATCCTGTGTGATCCGTGCTGAACAATGTTCCCACTGAGATCTGCAAATGATTCCAACTAAGCACATATGAAAAGGAAAATGCAGGTTTATGATAAATAATGCTTCCTTTACTTAAAATTTTCTGCCTTGTGTCGTGACAACTGACGAGTCAGCAGGAGATGTATAGACGTCGAGAACAAGAGTGACACTGTGATACTGGAGGGGGCTGAGGAAAAGAAAAATGTCCATCAATCAGAAGTTTAAAGTATTCTGGTAGGAGGTATTACATATGGGAAATGATAAGCAACTTTAAATCCCGTTTTCTACAAGCGCACATGCTCGCTGCTCCCTGCACGGACTTGCTCTCTCAAGGGCATACTTAGCACTTACGAGAGTCAAGGAAACACCTGTTGTGTCAAACTCACTGTGGTGTGAGCAAATTACTAGACCAAGATACACTGAAAATAACCCTATTGTGTAACGGAATAAGAAGATAAGTTCATAATTATCCAAGACAGATGAACACTGTCAGAAAGGTAAGATCTTCCATCATCCTTCCCTCTCCACTTTAGTGATCCTGGTGTCCCCCACCACCTTTAAGTCAACGGCTCCAGGTACAGATTCCAGCTGGCCTCACATCACTGGGTGTCCAAAGGACCTTTGGAGATGGCATGTGCAAAGCCTAACTCATAATCCAAGCCTGTAAACCCTGGCCAGCCTCCTGCGTTCCCCGAGTTAGTTAACAGCACTGCTAGCATTTCCTCCTTCCCCCATTAGAGAGGCTCCCTTCTCTCTGTGACCCCACACTGCCCTGCAACCTGCTAATGGGCCCCACCTAGCCAGCCTCCCCCTGCCCCTTCACCACCATCACCCCAGTGCCACCCACCAGCACCCATGAGCTCGATGAGTGCAACCCTCTCTCAACGTGTTTTCTGAATCTACTATTGCCCTCAAACAGTTCATTCTCTGTTCAGGAGTTGGAGGAAAGGATTTTTTTTAAAAATGAACTTATGATTATTTCATACTAAAATTCTCATGGATTCTTGATGATCTTAGGATGGGATTTCAGCCTCCCTGATTTGGCCTAAAGACCTTGCATGGTCTAACCACTGCCTGTATTTCTGGCTTCTCTTTTTCACAACTGATGTTTTCTGTTTGAGGTGTCCCCATAATTGTAGCCTGGGATGCTCTTTCCCTTCTCTTCTGATCCATTTTACCTTTTTTTTATATTCAATTATAATTAACATAGTGTTATATTAGTTTCAGGTGTACAATATAATGAATGATTCAGTACTTCTATGCATTACTCAGTACTTGTCCCAACAAGTGTGCTCTTAATCCCCATCACCTATTTCCCCATCCCCCCACCCAACTCCCCTCTGATGACCACCAGTATGTTCTCTACATTTAAGAGTCTGTCTTTTGTTTGTCTCTTTTTTTATTTGTCCATGTGTTTTGTTTCTTAAAATCCACATATGAGTGAAATCATATGGTATTTGACTTTCTCTGACTGACTTACTTCACTTAGCATAATACTCTCTAGCAACATCCACGTTGTTGCAAATGGCGAGATGTCATTCTTTCTCCTGGCTGAATAATATTCCATTGTGTATATACCACATCTTCTTTATCCTTTCGTCAGTGGACACTTAGGCTGCTTCCATATTTCGGCTGTTGTAAATAATGCTGCTAAAAACATAGGTTGGTGAGGATGCAGAGAAAGGGGAACCCCCTTACACTGTTGGTGGGAATGCAAACTGGTGCAACCACTCTGGAAAACAGTATGGAGTTTCCACAAAAACTAAAACTAGAACTACCATGATCCAGTAATTATTCCTATTCCTACTCCTTCAACAATCTCCCCTCCCTTCTCACACTAAGTCACTTACTCATGCAGTAAACATGTCTTCACCAGCTTGACAAACCTATCAACTGCCTCACCAGACACACCAGTTATTTCCTGGCTACATACCAAGCAGAGCTTCTCCTGATCAGCACAGAGCCTCAAAGCCTGGCACTTCATTCAGTACCTGAGGACAAGAAGCAGAGTGACCCATCACAGGAACCAGGGAGTGGTGGAAGCTTCCATCGGGCGTCTACTCTGTAGCCCACAGCTGTCATCACTCTCCACTCTTGCCTGGGCTGATGAAATGAGCATCAGTTGACCTCCCGAGCCCTCGTCTGCCTTCTCCCCACACAGTCCACATTCTGCACACAAACGATCTTTTCACAAATGAATAATGCTTGTAAATTTCATTTTTAGACATGGCTGAAACATACATCTTTCACTGACATTTTAAAACTACTTCAACGTGCTCTGAGGGATCATCCTGTAGAGCTGGGGAAATTTAATCCCCATCCTGACTGGGGGTCTGTTCCCTGCTCGAAGAGAGCAAACAGCCCCAAACATGCAGGTCTTCTGCTCTTCACGTCACATCTGCTCATTCCCCAAGCTCATGTGATCCCTTGATTCCAGCAGCTCCAAGGTCCACTGCTGGCCTTCGGCAGACTGCTCTCTGCCTTCCTTAGTGCATCAGACCCTGATGCCCTCAGGTCCTGCCACTTCCCTGCAGCACCGTGAGCGATTCCACCATAACTTGAGTCCCCAAAGGATCTCCAGGCCTAGAGAGCTTCTCACCTTCCTTCTGGTCATGTCAGCTGTTTGAACCTTGAGACTTGCCATCTTCTCTGCTTTCAGGAGCTGCGAATTTTGGAAGTCCAGAGCCAGGAGAGGGCTGAAACTGGCTATGGACAACTGCTGCCTTTAGCCAAGCTGAGGGCAAAACCAGGCTCTCTCCTGGCATGAGGTCGGGAAGAATACCAGTGGACGGAGACAGAAATAACATCCGAATAAAATATCCTATCATAAGTGCAAATGAGTGTGTTGACTCCATCCTGCAAATACATTAAGGAGTTTTCATTGGCCTTTGATTAGCATAGACAGCCTTCACTGGATTTACCAAGGTTCACCCACAGATTGAACATGTGCCTTGGCATCTTTGACCAATCAGAATCCAAACCATTCCTGGTCTGTGCTGGAAGGAGGACAGTGAGAAATGGAAAGAAAATAAAACACTGCACACACTACTCATTGACTGTGTGTGGACATACATGCATGCACGTGGGTGAGTAAATTCTTCCAGAAGTTGGAATCCCTGATAGATGTGGGGTCTGTGCCTCAAACCATGTTCCTGGCTGTCAAGAGGGCCTGGCTCTGAGAGGTGGGGTCTTGTCAGGCCTGAAGCATGAGTGCACGATTCACTCTAAGAACACTGCAGTTGTGTGCTGAATAATAAACATTTAGAAGATGTTTGAAGGTTTAACCCAGGTGTTTGACCTTGGTTTGAGACAGAGATAGGCAGACACATAAGCTATTTTTAAACCATAAGCCTATCCCTGCTGGTTAGCACAACTATATAAAGAGAGACTATTGGTGAAACTACCTGGTAACTAATAAAGTACAGATAGGGGAGTGTTGCAAAGAGGGGTACCCTATCATATGGTCTCCCTCATATGTAGAACATAAAGAATAGCATGGAGGACCATAGGGGAAGGGAGGGAAATCTGAAGGGGGAGAAATCAGAGAGGGAGATGAACCTTGAGAGACTCTGGACTCCGGGAAACAAACTGAGGGTTACAGAAGGGAGGGGGTGGGGGGATGGGGTAACTAGGTGATGGGTATTAAGGAGGCACGTGATGTGATGAGCACTGGGTGTTATACTAAACTGATGAATCATTGAACACTACATCAAAAACTAATGATGTATACTATACCGTGGCTAACTGAACATAATAAAAAAAGAGGGGTACGCTAGCCTGTTTACAAAATGAGAAGCAATTTTTCTGAGGAACACTGTCTCTCCTCCCCCCAAAGGGGGCACACCCAGGGCCTACGAGAGGAACTTAGGAGGAGGAGGGAGAAAGGCCAGGAGGTCCAGGGATGTCCACTGTGCCCACTAGTTGGCCCAATTCAAGAGACATCCACCAAAAACACCAATTTTTACCCACTTTTGTTGACTATGTATGACTGCTGTCTTCTCACTCTGGTATTATTTTTGTAATTAAATTTTTTTTTCAGTGGTTTCCCAACTTTTTAAAAACTTTAACGCCAGTTTAGTAATAGACAGTGTGACACTAGTTTCAGGGTACAAGAGAGTGACTCAACAATCCCGTAACTTACTCAGCGCTCCTCACAACAAGGGTTTTAGTACGTGCTGCCCACACAAGCACTATTTTTGTAGATTTAGATAATGTTTGCAGAAAGAATAATGTTACAATAGATCTAACTCATCTAACCAAATCTGCTCTCACGATAGCATCTGCATTACTTGTTGCC